CTGTTTTCCTTCAAGACACCTTGTAAGACTGAGAAGTATTCCTGTGACCCTCCACTTGCAGTCTAGGTAGAAATGCTCCAGAGGAAGCAGTAGGTACTGTAGTACATACTCAGGCTTTCCATGCTGATGAGACAAGATGTGCTGAGCTAAAGTCTGGCATATATAAAGCCTGGGTTCCAACCCTAGCACTGAAAAAAAGAGGGGGGGGGCAGAATTCTGATTTGTTCAGGCCCAACAATACTGCAGAGGTTGACATTAAAAAAAGTTGAGTGGGGTATAGTGGTGCTTGTTTTTTGTTTTTTGTTTTTTTAATATTTATTTATTTATTATGTATATAGTGTTCTGTCTGCATGTTTGCCTACAGACCAGAAGAGGGCACCAGATATCATTACAGATGGTTGTGAGCCACCATGTGGTTGCTGGAAATTGAACTCAGGACCTCTGGAAGAGCAGCCAGTGCCCTTAACTGTTGAGCCATCTCTCTAGCCCCAGTGGTGCTTGTTTTTAATCCCAGCACTCAGGAGGCAGAGCAAGGCTGATATCTGTGAGTTCAAGGCCAGCCTGATAGCAAATAAATAAAAAGTTGATTTGGGGTCAGAAAGTTTGAAATAGCCTGCAAGACCTCAGAAAAGGCTTTCCAGAAGTATCTTCAACAGCTTATATGGAAGCAGCAGAACACTATATGCAAAGACAGATGAGGTGGTAGCGTCCCCCCCCACACACACCTTACAGTCTTCCCCCACCCAAGTCCACATGGAGCCCTAAGATCTTATCCCCTTTATTATGCGCCAAGAATTCCCTCATCCAAGGAGCAGGTTTCTGGAGCATGCCCTCTGGCCTCTGCTTACCCTCCCCTGGGTAGTTCTTTTTCAGCAATCCCCTGAGGATCCTTAACATCCTCTTGCTGCTGGAGGGCGCTGTCATTGTCTACCAGCTGTACTCCTTAATGTCCTCGGAAAAGTGGCACCAGACCATTTCACTGGCCCTCATCCTCTTCAGCAACTACTATGCCTTCTTCAAGCTGCTCCGGGACCGCCTGGTTTTGGGCAAAGCCTACTCATACTCAGCAAGTCCCCAGAGAGACCTGGACCACCGGTTCTCCTGAGCTCCAGGGTGAACTTCAAGACAACATCCAGGCTTCACCCAAGGGCCTTCTGGCCAAGGGCTGTTGGGGTTGGGTTGGGGAGGTGGGGAAAAAAAACACAAAAAACCCAAAAAAATCCACCAGAGCTTTGTATTTTTGTTACATAATGTTTCTTTCTTTGATAATTGATGTGATAAGAAGGAAAAAAGTCTTATTTTTATACTCCCAACAAGCCTGTGTCCTGTGGTTCTTTCTCTGGTTCCTGCCTATCAGGCAAAGTCAGAGGTGTGGCCTTCTAAGCTGGGGAGCTCCTCGTGTGGCTTCTGTGGTTCCCAAAGGCTGCGGGAGCTGTGATTGCTGCTGCTAACTGAAGGCCAGTTGTGTACAGGTGCCTTGTCATCCACATTTTGACAACCTAGGGAGATGTGTGCTGTCCCTCCCAAGGTAACTCGGCTCTGAAACGGTATAAAAGTCCTCTGAAAAGGGGCGACACTGTTGTTCTAGTAAAATGTGTCTTGATTCTCCAGCATGTAGTCACTGCCACCCTGCCGTGTGCCAGGTGCCAAGCCAGGACACTGCTTCACGGTGGGGAGGGAATGCTGGTAAGATGGATCAGAGGGTCAAGGCACTTTGTACCAACCCTGACAACCAGAGTGAGTCCCTGGACCCAATATAGTGGAAGGAGAGAACTGACTCCTGTTAGTTGGCCTCTAGCCTCCACACACACACATATCAAATAAATGTAATTTTTACTTATTTTTAGATTTTTTTTTTAATGTACATGCGTGCTTTGCTTATATGTAGTATATGCTCCACACGTGTGCCTAGTGCTCTCTGGGGTTAGAGGAGGGCATTGAACCCCCTGAGATTGGAATTACAGATGGTTTGGGAGCCACCAGATGTTTGCTGGGAATGAAACCCTGGTCCTCGCAAGAGCAGCAAGTGCTCTGAATTGCTGAACCAACTCTCCAGTCCAGTCAATGTAATTATTTATTTTATTTTATTTATTTATTTATTTATTTTTGGTTTTTCAAGACAGGGTTTCTCAGTGTAGTTTTGGTGCCTATCCTGGATCTCACTCTGTAGACCAGGCTGGCCTCGAACTCACAGAGATCCGACTGGCTCTGCCTTCTGAGTGCTGGGATTAAAGGTGTGCACCGCCATGGTTGAAAAACCAAAAAAGGTTAGGAGGTTTGAAACACTCCAGTGTTGGAACAGGGCAAACAGAATGTGGTTCCTACCTCATGAAAGTAGGGGGAAAAGATGAAAGGTCTCTGGAAAGGTCAGAGGCTGGATGAGGGGGAGATGTTATTGTGAACAGACTGTGTCCTAGAACAGAGAACAAAGCTGTGTGAAGGGTCACCTGGCTCCTCCAGGCATAGTTTAGAGCCCTGCAAGGAGAAGGGATGCATACACCTTAGCCTTTCTGCGTTTGGCCACAGGGTATGCAGATGAGCTCTGGTGGATGGGATACAGACTGGATAGTCCCCGCCCCCCCAAGACAGGGTTTCTCTGTGTTGTTTTGGTTCCTGTCCTGGATCTGGATCTGTAGACCAGGCTGGCCTCGAACTCACAGAGATCCACCTGGCTCTGCCTCCCGAGTGCTGGGATTAAAGGCGTGCGCCACCACTGCCCGGCAGACTGGACAGTTTTGGTGCCTGTTTAGCAGGCACTGTGACAGACATTGGGATAAGATGGGGAAGCTTGCTTCTTTCCTTAGCTGACAGGGAGATGTGAATATACATTGGGAGCAAGTCAGTGTGAAATGCTGAAGAAAGCAGAATACCGCCCTAGGAGCAGAGAGGTGGATGCCCCGACGGGAAGACAGGTGGCCTGGAAGAGGGGATAATGGGATTGGATCCTGAAAGGTTTATCACATGGGCAAACAAGGCAAGGGATTGCATATGCACACAGAGAAGTTAGGAGCCTGCTTGGGGAAAGGGTTCCTCAACCATGCTTGGAGTCCGAGCTTCCTGTTGGTGAGTGGCCCAAGAACCAGCCTGTGTGCCAGATTGAGATGTTTGGGCATTCCTCAGATCAGACAGTGAAAAACTGCTGAGAGTGACCTAATGTATTGAGTTACCTTCCTGTGTGTGTGTGTGTGTGTGTGTGTGTGTGTGTGTGTATGTGTGTTGGTCTTTTTCCCCCCTTCTTTCAGAGCTCAGGACTAAACCCAGGGCCTTGTGCTTGATAGCCAAGTACCCTACCACTGAGCTGAAGCTCTAACCTAGACACTAATGTTTTTGTTTGTTTGTTTTTAAATATTTGTGTGTGTGTGTGCACAAGCAGGTATGTTTGTGTCACAAAATGTGTGTAGAGATAGTGTACAAGTTTCAGGAGTTGGATACCCCTGTCCACCAGAAAGTCTGGGGTTCAACTCTGGACATCAGGCTTGTGCCAGAAGCACTTTTATCTGTCCAGCCATCTCTCTGGTCCGTAATGTCTGGTTTTAAAGCAGATGGGGCAGGAAAACTGGGCCTGGAGATCTATGAGGTAAGAAGGCAAAGTAACGTGGTAAGTTCTACTTGAGGAAGGTAAACACAGTATTCCTTTTCCTCATGTTGAGGCATAGAATTTGACTTTTGAGTTTTTTCCCTTAACTGGCCAGGCATTTGTATAGACTTGGTAGTTTGTTGTGATAGGCCCTGAGAACCAGATACAAGAGTCTTCATTCACCTTCTAAAAGATGGAGACTAAAGATTGGACATAACCCCAGCTCTTTGTGTTGAGCTTAGGTATCAGTCCAGCATTCCTTTATTCAAAAGGTAAAAGCTTTAATATCCTTATTGCTAGGAAAGGGAGCTCACCAACCTGTTAATTTTTCTTGTTTATTCACTCAATGGCCATAAGCCAGACTGTGGAAGGTGGTGGCCATGGTGTTAAGCAATACAGAACTGACCCCTACCCTTACAGAGGTTAGTGGGCTCTGACACACACACACACACACACACACACACACACACACACACACACACACGCATGCACGCACACACACACGCACACACGCATGATAGTGCACACCTGTAATGTCAGCACTGGGAATGGAAGTGGGATCTGGAGGTCAAAGTCATCTACTTACAAGAGGACAGTCTGGAATACTTGAAACCCTGTCCCACACAAACAAATAAAGATCTGGAGCCTTTCATCCCAGCGCTTGGAAGGCACAGGTAGGTGAATATCTGTGAGTTTGACGTCTGCCTGGTCTATATAGATTATGGCCAGCCAGAGACATATAGTGAGACCCTCTCTCCAGTGAACAAAACCGAGACATAAACTCCAGTTTAATCGTGACTTCTTTTCCTTATCTCCATAGCCATGAACAAATCACTTTCCCTCTCTAGATGATTCTTTACTCAGTTCTATATGGGCTTAATTATAAACAGAAGGGATATCTTTCTGGGAAAGGAGGCCTCACCGTAAAGAAATAAAGACAGAAACAGCAGAGAACTTGGCACATTTTCAGTAGATATCCCTTGTAGTCTCCCTCCAGCCTTGTCTAATCCGTCCTAATTGACACCTTTAGTGGCTGCGGTTCTCTTTAAAAGCATGCCCATCAGTGTCATCTCCAGGAGGGAAGGGGGCGTGAGAGTTAAGAACGCGTTTAGTACGGTGTAAATGTTTGTCCCGGTCAGGCCGCCGTCCTGCAGATCCGCCATATTGTCTGCCGAAGCTGCCGCTGAAGCTACAGCTGCGGCCGCCGCCAAGTCTGAGCGAGCGGAGCCGCGATGGGTGAGTGAGGCAGCTCAGCGGACGGGTGCTCGGGCTGAGGGTTTGGGGAGCGGGGTCTGGCGAGGGCTTGTCTCTAGTCTGAAGAAGATGTCGGAAGCGTGCAGGTAGGTGTGGGAGGAGAAATCAGGTCGGGAGTGCCCCTCGGGCCAGTTTAGGGCCGGCGTAGGGCCGCACGGGGAGCAGCCCCCGGGGCTGGTTCCGGATGCCCGGCGCCCCCGGTGCCCCCACGTGGTGGCCTCGGGCCGGAGCTCTTGCGTTCCCGGGGGTAGGCAGGGCCCTGTCCTCTCGCCGTGCTCCTGCTGTGGAGCTGGGGACCGGGCTCCGGGCGGCAGGCCTGGACGCCGCCACGGGGAGCCTGCTCCCGTGGGCATTTGGCCGACGCGCTTCGGAGCGAGGTGATGCCTTACCTGCCAACGTAGAGGGGAGAGTCCTCTGGAGAGGAGACGCAGGGCAGGCCAGCTCCGGACCGGTAACCAAGGGCAGGCCGGGTCCAGCACGGTTTGGGCCTTTGAAGGCCAGGAACATGTCCCAGTCGGTGCAGAAATGGGCTGGTTCGGCTAGACTCCGTGACAGGCTTCGTAGTGTTTAGAAAGCCCAAAGCCAAGACTTCTTGGCATAGACAGGTCAGAGACTTGAGGTTTCTGGGCCAACTCTGGTTAGGAGGAAAAGAGAGACCTGTTGATCTTTTTAAAAAGAGGACTCTGGATACCAAGGCCGTTACCCAAATGAGTACGATGGTTAAGTCTTTGAATTCAGAAACAAAACCAGCATTGATAATTTATTGCCATCAGTAAAGTAAAAGCTGTTTAAATTTGCTAATCTGTATGTGGAGGCATTGTTGTCAGTGCTTAACGTGTCTTGTTTAACCTAATTTCAACCTAGTGGGATAGTTGCTGCTGCTGTTCCTGTTTTACAGATGGGGAAACTGAGGCTTAGAATGGTAAAGAAACTTATCCAAGGTCACACAGTGATTAAAACAGGGTGATCACTCCTGAGCTCTTGGATTTAACTGCTGCTTTTTATGGTCTGGCCCCCTAGTGGTGGGCTGAAAAAGGAAGGGACGGTTTTAACCCTGCATAAAGTTGTGAAGGTATTTTGTTATGGGTCCAGTTTGAAATATTTAGTCTGAATGAAACTGAAAAAGTTCAAGGTGAGTTGCTGATCCCCACCAATTTTTTTTTTTCGGTTTTTCGAGACAGGGTTTCTCTGTGTAGTTTTGGTGCCTTTCCTGGAACTCACTTGGTAGTCCAGGCTGGCCTCGAACTCACTGAGATCCGCCCAGCTCTGCCTCCCGAGTGCTGGGATTAAAGGCGTGCACCACACCGCCCGGCATCCCCACCAATTTTAAGAGTAGCACCTAAATGCATTTTTGAAATTTTGAATGATCTCTGATCCTAAGGGAACATAAATTATTTTCCCTGCCTGTGATTTTAGAATCTGCTCTGGCCTGACACTTCCCACATTTCATCCAGTGACTTAATCTACAAACAAAATTGCATAGAGAAGGTGTCTAGTACCATCTGCAACAGACCCTGTATTCCTCCATTTCTGAGCTTTCTCATCTCCAGAAAGAGGAGTATCTGGAGCCTAGCCAGCTCTGTAAATGACATGACATTCTTCCCCACCTTCAGTAATAGCATTCTTTGCCCTCCAGAACCCTCTGGAAAGTATAACAATGATTTAGGAGCCCAACTGGAGCCGTGGAGAGAAAGAGGTAACCTGTGAGATTCATTTTTACAGACTGAGAAACAATCTCAGAAAAGATAACATAGCTAATAAGCAGCTGCCAGGAGTGAGATTCTTCCATATCTTACTGCACATCAGCCTCTAAAATTTAAGGTGGAGCCGGGCGGTGGTGGCGCATACCTTTAATCCCAGCACTCCAGAGGCAGAGGCAGGAGGATCTCTGAGTCAAGGTCAGCCTGGTCTACAGAATGAGTTCCAGGAAGCCAGGGCTACACAGAGAAACCCTGTATCAGAAAAAAAAGGCTGGGGGGTGTTAAGTGAAAAAAAATTTTTTTTCATGTTAAAATGTGAGATGAAAGTTCTTCAGTGCAATCAGACTGGACCAAAGTCCCAAAAGCATATATATATTAAAAAAGAGAGAGTCAGGGCTGGAGAGATGGCTCAGAGGTTAAGAACACCAGCTGCTTTTCCAGAGGTCCTGAGTTCAATTCCCAGTACCCACATGGTGGCTCACAACCATCTGTAATGAGATCTGGCTCCCTCTTCTGGCCTGCAGGGATACAAGCAAACAGAATACTGTATACAAAATAAATAAATAAATAAAAAAAAAGAGAGAGAGTCAGGTAATCAAACTAAAGTAAGGATATATTTAATCACAGTATGTAATCCTAGGTAGTTTGGGTAATCCCCATTACAACAGTGAATTGATACTTTGAGATTAGGTAACTAGTGGAAGGCTAGTAATCTAGGCCCATTGGGGACTGGTTATACTACAGCTGGCCTTCACCCGGAAGCTGCTCTGTCCATTGCCTCTTTTTTTTTTTTTTTTTTTGGTTTTTCGAGACAGGGTTTCTCTGTGTAGCTTTGCGCCTTTCCTGGAACTCACTTGGTAGTCCAGGCTGGCCTCGAACTCACAGAGATCCGCCTGGCTCTGCCTCCTGAGTGCTGGGATTAAAGGCGTGCGCCACCACCGCCCGGCTTGTCCATTGCCTCTTATGTGTACTCGCTCAGGTCCTGTATTTTATACTGTTTTTGCTGTGTCCAACTTCACTACTCTTTTTGTTGTTGTTTGTTTTTTGTTTTTCGAGACAGGGTTTCTCTGTGTAGTTTTGGTGCCTGTCCTGGATCTTGCTCTGTAGACCAGGCTGGCCTCGAACTCACAGAGATCCAACTGGCTCTGCCTTCCGAGTGCTGGGATTAAAGGCATGCGCCACCACTGCCCCGTCTTCACTACTCTTTTAATAGACTTTTGTAGTGATTCTACTGCCTGTGTTGGTCACACAACTGTAGACATTGCTTTGCTCCTGATCAACTCTAGCATAGACCTCAACCACCACTTGAATTCTAGTGGGTGCTGGATATCTAATCACCGTTCCTTGCTAACTGAGAATTTGGCATTTTCTCCCAAAATCCAGGGAGTGGGTCTTGATTATATTAAACTTGATTTACATTAAACTCTAAACCAGTTGTTGTAATTCTGTTGTCCTAGGCAGTGGTTGTTTTAGGCTGCTTAGAGCTGAAGGGAAGTCGGGGAGACTTCTGAAGAACCTTTCTTATTTAAAGTTGACTTTCTGGCTTTAAAAAAAAAAAAAAAAAGATGTGGTGTTATATTGTGCACTCCAATAAACTTATCTGGAGATCAAAGGACAGAGCCAACCACTAGATTAGGCATAGAGGCCAGACAGTGATGGCACACACCCTTAATCCTATCACTCGGGAGGCAGAGATCCCTCTGGTTCTCTGTGAGTTCAAGACCACACTGGGAACAGCCAGGCATGGTGGCACACACCTTTAATCCCAGCACTTGAGATCTCATGTCTTTGCTTGGGAAAGACACATGCCTTTAATCCCAGGAAGTAGTATGGCAGGGCACAGAAAGGTATATAAGGCGTGAGGACCAGGAACTTTTAGCCGCAGTTCAGTGGAGTCACTTTTGGGTGAGCACTCGGAGGCTTCCAGTCTGAGGAAACAGGATTGGCTAAGGAGTTGGCGAGGTGAGGTTGGCTGTGGCTTGTTCTGTTTCTCTGATCTTTCAGTTTTCACCCCAGTATCTGGCTCCGGATTTTTCTTATTAATAAGACCATTTAGCAATACGTGTTACAAAAAGATTATTTGTCAGTTTGTATTTTAGACTGGTTTTACCAAAGTGTGAGAGTTTCAGAAAAGACAGAGGAAAGCTATAATAGTAATAGCCAGTGCATCTTTGGAGCTTGCTAAGTGCTCAGCGCTCTTCCAAGTACTTTGCAGATAAACTCATTGAATTCTCAGTTCTCCTGTTTTAGTTGAAGAAACTGAAACACAGGAACTCTACTTCTGAGCTCTGCTCACAGACTTACTGGACCTAGTGTGTATGTCTGTACCTTTGTTTCTGGGGGTTTTTGTTTTGTTTATTTTTTTGTTTTCATCTTGTTTTTTGGTAGTCTGGGTACTGAACCCAAGCAAAGTCAGAATAGTCAGGAATAGCCATGAAGAGCAAGTTGCAATTATGCTTAAAATCTGTAAGATTATAATGAAGCTAAAAAAAAAAAAAAAAAACTTCACTGTCTAAAGGACATATAGCTGAAGAAGCTTTTGATTTCTTTTAAAAGTTTGACATTGCCTTCGATTCCCAGCACTCAGGAGGCAGAGACAGGCGGATCTGAGTCTACAGAATGAGATCCAGGACAGGCACCAAAACTGCACAAAGAAACCCTGTCTTGAAAAACAACAACAAGGCCAGGCCGTGGTGGCGCACGCCTTTAATCCCAGCACTCGGGAGGCAGAGCCAGGCAGATCTCTGTGAGTTCAAGGCCAGCCTGAGCTACCAAGGGAGTTCCAGGAAAGGCGCAAAGCGACACAGAGAAACCCTGTCTCGAAAAACCAAAAAAGAAAAACAACAACAAAAAAAGTTTGACATCATTAGCAAGACTATCTCAAAAATGCTTGCCAAGAATATACTAGACTCATAGACCCACCTGCCTCTGCCTCCTAATGATGGGATTAAAGGTGTTTATCATGGGTTTTGTTTTGTTTTGAGATAAGGACTTACTCTGTAGTACCAGGTAGCCTGGAACTCACAGTCTTCCTTCTACCTCAGCTTCCCCTGTGCTGGAATTACAGGTAAGCTCTACCATACTTGGCTGGAAAAAAAAAATTTTAGGGGCTAGAGAGATTGCTCAGTGGTTATTCTTGCACAGGCTCCAAGTTCAGTTCCGAGCACCTACCATCAGGCAGTTCACAACTGCCTGTAACTACATCTATAGGGATCTGTGGTCACCCACATACATGCAGGTGTCCACACACATAAAAATAAAAAATTTCTAAAACTTTTTTTTTTTTTAAGAAAATGTAGTGGGGTATGGTGGTATATGCTTCATTTTTCATGATCCCAGGCTGGCCTGGATTATACAGTGAGACGATGTCTCAAAAAAAAAGTGAGGGCTGGAGAGATGGCTCAGAGGTTAAGAACACTGACTGTTCTTCCAGAGGTCCTGAGTTCAATTCCCAGCAACCACATGGTGGCTCACAACCATCTGTAACAAGATCTGGTGCCCTCTTCTGGCCAGCAGTCATACATGCTGTATACCTAATAAATAAATAAATCTTTAAAAAAAAAAAAAAAAAAAAAAAAAAAAAAAAAAAAAAAAGTGAGATTATGAAGAAAACATTTTATTTTATTTTATTTATTTATTTTTTTTTTTGGTTTTTCGAGACAGGGTTTCTCTGTGTA